GAGGCCTCCAGACATGCTTTAAGCTATTGTCTCTGTGTGTGGCCCCTTCCATTCAGTGTTGATTCCCGATGACTGCCAGGACCAGTTTCTGCAATTTCCTTAGCAATATTGTTGGGAAGTGGCTTCCCATTGCTTCCATCCTCTAGGGCCGAGAGAGAGAGCGATTGTCTCAAAGTCACCCAGTTGGTTTTATACCTAAGGACTAGAACTCACAGTCTTCTTGTCCCAAAGTTGCTTTTTCAAGAGGAAACTGGAGTTTTTGGTTTTTCTTTGAAGACATTTCGCTTCTCATCTTCAACTCTGACTATCGGTAAATGGTGGGGAATGGAAGGATTTATATTCCTTGCAGACAGCTGGTGTACATATAAATCCTTCCATTCCCCACCATCCAGTCAGAGCTGAAGGTGTTCTTGCATGAGAAGCAAAATGTCTTCAAAGAAAAACCGGAAACTCCAATTGCCTCTTGAAAAAGAACCTTTGGGACAACCATGATCATGGATGACTGAGAATCTCCATAGTCATTCACATTCTCCTTGTTTCCAGCCTGATGCCTTAACTTCTCTCTAAGCAAGACCTGGCCATATGTGACCCTTTGGCCCTATCTGTTTGGCTCACGTGAGGCTAATTGGAAATCGGAAATCCAATGCAAATAAGATCACCCCAGGGGCAAGAGAAGAAGATAAATTAGACCCACCTCTGCATGGTTGCTGTACGCGCCTTCAGTCACCAGTGGCTGCAAGAAGGTGATGAGAAAAGGTGTTTTTCTGCACCTGCACAGTGTTTGCCCCTCTCCTGGAGTTGAGGTCACAGAGTTTGAGGACATCAAATCAGGTTACGTTGGTTCAGCTTTCCACAACAGTTCCAGTTTTTCATATGGCCCCTTAAGAAAATTAATTGCCCACCCTACTCTAAGCTGGGTAGATTCAAGTTTTCTACATTGAAATCCGTCACACTTTCCTATTAACTCTTACCAGGCATAGTGAACAAAAATTGCTTTCTTATCCATATTGAACCCTTCCACAATTATTTTTGTTGATGCAGCTATACACTTTGCCTATTGTACTGATATTTGGGCAGCAGATCTCTGGTTTAAAGGCTTGAACTTCACATATAGTGAAACCTCAGGCAAGTATATATTAAAAATCTTTCTACAGTTCATTGACAATTTGCTGACCAAGATGGAAATAAATTGAATTAATACAGCTGGAAGCCTTTCTTCTAAAAACACTGGTTGGCCAACTGGCTGCCTCTAAAGAATTTTCACTGTAAAAACAGAAATGTCCCCGGGTTTTTTCAAACCTGATCCATCAGCTGTGCCAACAACAGCTTCTCCTAAATGTTAATTTAGAATTAATCACCCTGTTATCTCTGTGAATTAATCTGCAGGGTCATTCAATTGTTGCTACCGAATGCCAGGTCACACTATAATAAGGCTTCTCTCATCTGTAATTTCATCACAGATGAGGGCTGACTTGGCATGTATCACTGGGTTCAGAAGGGGATGTTCTCCTCTTATAAATGTATCCAGCTGGGTTTCAAGTGTGGCATCAATCAAGATTCCAGATTAGCAGTAGGATTACCATCTGGGAATCTCTAATGGTTCTCAAGAGAAATTCCACAAGTCACCAGATGTGAGGCACAGTTTATTAAGCTGGACTCTAGGGATCAGTTGAGATTGGTCCTGGTAGCCTCCCTCCTGCATCTAGTGACTTCTCTGACTGAGCTCCTTGATGCAACTTCTGGGTTGCCAATAGAGTTTCTCAGGCTTATGGTTCTAGCAGACTTCAGTCTGGTTTCTGTTAGTCTAAAGCTACTTGGGAGTTCATGACCACCATGGATCATTGTTCTCCCCAAAAGCTAGGAGTGTCTTTCGGAGCGTCTTATACTCCGAAAAATATGGTAATCTAAATTAATGGTTGCAGGAACTGGGTATGTCTAGTTTAATGAAAAGAAGGACTAGAGGAGACATGATAGCAGTGTTCCAACATCTCAAGGGATGCCATAAAAAAGAGGGAGTCAAACTATTCTCCAAAGCACCTGTAGACAGGACAAGAAGCAATGGGTGGAAACTAATCAAGGAGAGAAGCAACTAAGGAGAAATTTCCTGACAGTTAGAACTATTAATCAGTGGAACAACTTGCCTCCAGAAGTTGTGAATGCTGCAACCCTGGAAGTTTTTAAGAAGATGTTGGGTACTCATTTGTTTGAAGTGATGTAAGGTTTTCTGCCTAAGCAGGGAGTTGGACTAGAAGATCTCCAAAGTCTCTTCCAATTCTGTTATTCTAAGTCTAAATGTTGCTGGCCCTCAGGAAGTCTCTTAATACTTGGAGATCCAGTAATGGTGTCAAGCCTGCTGGTTGGTTGCACTGTTAGTAATTTATTGTTTTAATTAACCGCTTTAATTGGTTTAAATGTGATTTACCCTGCTTTATTCCTAATTGTTGTTTTAATTATGTAAGCCACCCAAAATCACTTAAGATGGGTGGCAATATAAATAACCAACTAAATGAATCAAGTTTACTGATAAACTGTTCTTGTTATGATAGAAAAAGAGTATCCAAATAAAATATTAATGTTATCCTTTTTTCTTGTAGCATTTGACTGAATGCTTGAATTTTTCCCCCACCTCTCTGTAGTGAGGTGCAGTCTATATTTTTGGTAACCATCCTCCACTTCAGGTTTTTCCATTAATTTGCATTAAAAAAAGGATGTTGTGCTGATGAAAGCAGCCTTTTCTAACTTAGCCCTCTTTAGATGTGCTGGGACTTCATTTCCCAGAATTATTAGACTTCAAGGGGAGGCTAAGTTGGTATATATTGGCTCTTTTTCTATCCTGCCCATTGTAGAAGGCAAAACAAGAAGTATTTTAGACACTATACAACCCGATACTGTTTCTGTTTTGCCTTAAGTATTAAGTGAGATCCATTAATATCTCACCAGTATTATTTGTGCACCACAGGGAATTTATAAGGCATAGCAGCTGGTGATTAACTATTACAGCAAGCTTGCTTTTTAATGGCTTTTAGCCAACTAAATGTTGGCAACCACTTGAAAGTAATCTATCATAAATAGGAAGCATGTCCCCAGGCTCATAATTAATATTTGCTAGACACCAGAGATTTCCAAAAAAAGTAAAAGAGACTGAGATTTTTACTGATTCCCCCCCCCCCCCGCAATTTTTGTAGTGCTTGGGCTTTCAAAAATGTGTTGTGTTTCTAGAATGTTGTGCAAATTGAGACGAACAAGGCAGAGCCAAACTATTTGCATTTTCAACAATTGGCAGGAGAATGGTATGTTACCTTCAGATGGAGAAGCAAGGGAAGTAGCCTTAAGTGATTGCGGTCCATGTTACTATTCTGTTCCAGAAAAATATCACACATGCAACTATATCACAAATGCATGCTTTGGTTGTTTTTGGTAAACAGCCACTAAAAAGCTTATTACCATTTTAAATATTTGAATTTAATTATAAACAGGGGTGGGCTGCTACAGGTTCGCCTGGGTTCGGGAGAACCAGTAGCTAACGTTATGGCTGGTTCAGAGAACCTCCAAATCCAACCCCTGGCTGCCCCCCTCCCAGAGTCTCCACACATCCCGTTTTGGATGTGAGGTAAGTGCAGAGCCCGTGTGGAGACTTGGGGCCAGTGAAAAACAGGCCTCCCAGAAGTTCTGGAAGGCCAGAAATGGGCCCGTTTCTGGCTTCCAGAGCCCAGGGGAGGCAGTTTTCGCCCTCCCAGAGGCTTGAGAAAAACCTCCCAAGCCTAAGGAAGGTGAAACATCACCACCCCGCCATGGCGCATGTCGCGTCCAGCCGGACGCAACCGACAGCCATAGTCAGAGCCGGAAGAAGATCCGATTGGCTCTGGTGCGGCTGCCGGCTGGTGGGAGAAATGCCGCCATCCGATTGGTTCCCTACCTGACAGCTGTCAGTATAAATAGCTGTCAGGCAGGTGCTGTTCTGATCTTCTTCGCATTCTGAAGTGTTCTGTAAAATAATAAAGCCTGTTGAAAGCCTCTCCTCAGTGCCTGAATACTTAAAAGCGCAGGAGTCTGAGTAGGCCACACCCACCATGGCAACGCCCACCCAGAAACTGGGCAAAGAACGTGTTGCTGAAATTTTTGAAGCCCACCCCGATTATAAATATAACAATCATCCTCATGGAAGCATTTAGCTTAAGCTTTCTGGGTAGCCATAATTGGTTTCCCAGGTTCAGTGCCTGCATTTGAATCCAACTCATTCCATGATTCCATCTCTGCTTTAGTGAAAAGAGGAAAGATCTTATTCAAATTTCCCTACCATGATCCTGTATCAAAGTATTTGGTTCCGTGTGATGAGGTAACCAAGGATATGCCAAGCCTTCCTTTATCTTCACTTTCCCGAATACTAAGACTCAATATGTAATATTCATATGACAGTTGCAATGTCCCAGGGTCACCGTAGGTGACCTTCTGACAACCGAAGTCAGTGGAGAAGCCGGATTCACTTAACAACTGTGATGCTAACTTAATAACTGCAGTGATTCATCTAGCAACTGTGGCAAAAAAAAAGTTGTAAAATGGAGCAAAATTCACTTCTTAACTGTCCTACTTAGCAATGAAAATTTCAGGCTCAATTTAGGACCAATTGTGGTCTTAAATCAAGGGCTACCTGTACTGTACTGTTGTTGCATGTTTTATTATGTATACGGTAGATATTAGAATATTTACGCTGAAAGTATCAACTGCATAGTTAACACGGTTGAGTTCATAAAAAAAAAAAATCAATCCTGATATTGTTTCTGTTCTGAATAAGCATGAACAGAGTACTTATTGTTAGGGTAATGTCCTGTGGTTGGACAGCAGGGAAGAAACCCCACGTAGTTGAGCTGCTGAACAGAAAATGATGGCTCAAACCTCAGCTTTTGCCCTCAACTTGAGAGGGTGAAGACTTGCTGTGCTTTTTCAAGGCGGTGACTGTGTGCCTCTTTATGCTGAATTTGTGTTTCTCCCAATTTCTCCAGGCGACCCAGTATATGAGTTTGATTTCAAAGGAAATGCAGCCTGTAGCTGGCACAGAAGGTGCTTATTACCGTCGTAGAAGGTTGATGAGACAACTTCCTCTATATGATCAGGACCCTTCCCAATGCCGGGGGCTTTCGGAGAATGAAATCAAGCTGATGGAAGAGTTTATAAAACAATACAAAGACAATGTTCTCGGAGTTGGAGAAGTTGCGCTGCTGGGTCAAGGGGGAGTCACCAAAGAGGAAGGAAAGTCATCTGATAAAAACACTCCAGCAAGTAAGGAAGCAGCTTCAACCAATGGCACATTGGGCCATGTATCAAAAGGGCAGGACTTGGTAAGTCCCCAACACAGTGTTTCAGATGGGGGGAAATGTATGTTGTTGTTTTTTTAAAGTATATAATGAATGAATGTAACGTGGATATTCAAATATGAAAGACACAAAATACTATCAAATCTTATTTGATTGAAGCGTCTCTCAATCGAATGAAAGATGAACAGGGAAAGATGAAAAGACTGCAAATAGCTTTAGGGAATATGGAAGGTGTATGGAGTCAGATATGCTACAAAGCTGCTACCAAATTCTTTTAGACACATGTAATTGCACCCAAAGTTTAAGCCTAATAATTAGTTCACAAACATAATAGTCATGATTAAGGCAATCATGCTGCCAATACAAATGGTAAAAATCCAGAAGCAGAAGTATTAGACATGAAGTGACTGCCAGAAGTGGTGCTGAAATAAACAAAGCAAAAATAATATAGAGGTCTGCCTTGGAAAGACATTCCCTTCTTGGCATGGAGCCAAGTTATTTGGAAGACTGCCTCTTCCTACTCACGTTTGGCAGAAAAGGAATGTTGGGGGTCCTTTTCTGCCCTGAACCCACCCTGTGGAACATAATCCCCCCCCTCCTCCAGGGTGAGATTGGCCTCGTCACTGTTAAACTTCCTGTACTCCCTCAAAATGTAAGGGTATGGTGAGATGATGATGAGTCTCCATTGTTCGTAATATCTAATGCTTTCTCGTAGCCTTCTAATCAGTGATGGGATTCAAATTTTTTTACTACCAGTTCTGTGGGCGTGGCTTGGTGGGTGTAGCATGGCTTGGTGAGTGTGGCAGGAGAAGGATACTGCAAAATCCCCATTTCCTCCAGATCAGCTGGGACTCAGGAGGTAGAGAATAGATGGGGGCGGGGCCAGTCAGAAGTGGTATTTACCGATTCTCCAAACTACTCAAAATTTATGCTACCGGTTCTCCAGAACTGGTCAGAACCTGCTGAATACCATTTTGCTTTTAATGCTAATATTTATGTTTTTGATCATACAGTAGATGTTTTATATTGCTATTTTATGATTGTCACATTTTGGGCAGCCGTATGGTTGCATGATAGATAGAAAGATAGAAAGAAAGGGAGGGAGGGAAAGAGAGAGAGAGAGAGAGAGAAACAAATGATAGATAGATAGATAGATAGATAGATAGATAGATAGATAGATAGATAGATAGATAGATAGATAGATAGATAGATAGATAGATAGATAGATAGATACATTATAGCCCTAAAGCACTTTGGTAGATGAAAATCATACAGAGATCATCTTAACTGCTTTTAGATCTTCAAAGTGTTGGTGTTAAAATTATAACTGGCAACCTGTATAAGTTAGCTACTACCATACTTTCAAAATAGCCAGTTCCAAAAACAGCAGCTTATAAGAGGATTCTTTTTTGCTTGTCCTTTAAATCAGTGCTTCAACCTCAGCAACTTTAAAATATGTGGACTTCATCTCCCAAAATTCTCCCAACACAATTTAAAAGTCACAAGCAGAGAGACTAATAGAAAAGTCGTTATTGTAATCTGCTGCATAGGTGTTGGCATTGCTTCTCCAGAGCACAAAGAGATGTTTTTGCTAACTTGTTTGTTGGTTTGGAGAAACATATTTTTCTTGGTCTACATTATTGTTGTTATAGCAGCAGCTCAGTCTAAGCAAGGCTGTGTCATCCCAGGAAATAAAAACTTACTTGTGTCAGAGGCTCTTATTAAAGGTGTTTGTGAATACCATCATGGCATGATGAAATTATTTTGACTACAAGATCATCCCTCAAGTAAATATGTGTTGTGGTGTTTACTTTCTAGGAGATTTAAAACTTTACTTACTATTCTACAAACACCAGTGAAAAGCCTAACTTCATTTTAAAAATAATTATACAACTAAATCCTTCCATGAAGGGTTTTTGCATTCCAATAAAACAACATTAAGCATTTTGAGACTTGTCTCATGCATTCATTTAGACTTTCAAGGCTGCATGTATTTTTATTGACATTCATTTCATCTTCCTTACTTTATCAAAGTATATTCTGATTCATAATTTCCAGCACAAGGATTCTTATATTTTTGTAATTATTTAAATCTTTTGAGATTCTTAGTAGAAAACATCACAGTATTAAATTTTCCATTATTTTCTTAAACTTGTTTATACTTCTCTTTATCTATCAGAACAATGTTGGAATTTTGTGAAAGGTGCCAAAATTTTATAGCACAAAGTTCTGTTATTGCTGTACAGTTACTGTCTAAAGCTACAGACAACATAGTTCTTGTTTTTGATGAAATGGGCTTTAAATTCCAAAAATAAAGTCCATGCTATCTTCTGGATTTTAACCCCAGAGCAGGACACCGCATAAATTCTGCACAGTGTCTCATTTTTTCTGATAGATGAGGAATTTCAAGGGTAACGCTTGAAGTAAGAGGTGAATCTCTAATTCATTCGTTTAAAACATTTTCATAGCCACCCATCTTAGAACCAACTCTGAGTGGTTCCTAGTCAAAATCTATAGGTTATATACTGTATTAAAAAAAAAGCAAATAATTATTGTTGCTGGAGGAGCAAAACAGATAGGCTTTCCAAAAGAGGGATGGTATCCTACTAATGCTTCAATTTTAAGCAACCCCAAATTCTTAGTTTTCTAGTTTGGCCAAGCAACTCTCTTTCTGTTTTGCTCCAATACAATAATGTGGATGATAAAAGTAAAGCCTCCTTCAATTTGAGCTCAACTCTTGATTACTTTATTAGTGTAACTTTCTTGGCAGCAATACAAAAGCATTTAGCTATTCTTGTTCCAAGATGTTTTTTCAACTCCCCAGTCTAGCCTACAAGTCTGGACTTGATAGTTGTTTGCCAATCTCCTCTACATTTCCAATAACTGAGCATAAGTTGAGGTAAAAGCTTGCTTCTAAGCTATATATTAAGGCTGTTTATTTATTTGTACATACATACATACATTCCAGGCATACTTAAAAAGATTTATATTCTGTCTGTCAAATGCTTTAAGGATTACTCGGGGCTGCTTTCCAGTATTTAAAATAATACCCAAATTTTGAAATGTGTAAAAGACCAAAACAAACAAAAAATACACCAACACAAAAAATTCCTTATGCAAATGATAAAGCAGTCAGAAGCAGCATATTTGTATTTTCTAACAGTGGTGCTGCCTATGGAGGAAAGTCACTCATTGGCAGAAAAGCGATTGAGATGGTGTAAACGTGGCCTCCTACTTCAGAGAGGTTCAGCTTTGAATGCCAACACTGAGAAGGTCATTCCAAGTGGGGGCACTAAAATGCTCTTTCTCTTCTGCTAAACACACGATGAGCCCAAGAGAAGGATTTCCCGTCAATTCTTAGGGAGCAGGGAAGCTGATATAAGAGGAGACAGCCCCTGAACATAATCTGGACTACTTGGGATTGTGTCTTTGTTTGTTTATTAAATGTATATAGCCATCTAAGTCAAAGTGACTCCAGGCAACGTACAAGAATAAAATCCCAATACAAACCCCAATAAATTCCCACCTTCTGGATAACAATCAAAGCAACCACTTGCCTCCATATCACCCTGGGATCCTCAGGTCCATTGGCAAAACTATAGTATATTTTCAGAGTTTCGAAAGAGCTTAAAATGGGGTCCAATCTTATTTCCACAGGTGTGATGTTCCTCAGGGAGGGAGTCATTATGGAGAAGGCTCTTCTTGGTCCTATCAGAGGGACCTCCTTAAGAGAGGGAACTAGTAACATACCTCTGGTGGGTCTGGTAGATATAACTTGAAAAAGATGCTCCTTCAAATAACCTGGCCCCAGGCCATTTTAAGGCTTCAAGGTGACTAACAGCTTCCATGTAGAGTGCATTGTGGGGTATGCCTGGAACCTTAAATCACTATAAATCAGTTGGACATTAAACTATCTTAATTCAGTTATTTGGCAAAAACATGAAAGTTTAATCATTATTGTCTTGAATAAACAGTATATTCAGTACTAAGGAACTAACTGGTGTTGCTTTCTAGTCCAGTGCATTTTTGAAGCCAGCAGCCATGCAGTAAAAAGTAACTGTAAAAATGTCAGCACTTGCTTAACCACAATGTCTTAAGTTTTCCTGGCATAACAAAGTAAATACAAATCCTAATTCCAGGTCTTGAAATCATAGGTTGTACTTCTCTATGTGTCTCTTTAAAAAAAATGATAGTCTTCCATACTTTTTAAAATGGAAGCTTTGAAGTATTTCTTAGTCAATCAGGTTATGCCTATCTGATAACTTACAGTACCAACGTTCATGTATTTCAATCTAAGGTGACAAAAAGGTAATTGAAGGGATCTCCAGAAATTGCCTACTTTTTAATAATTATGACCTGAAGTTATGTGCTCCAAATTTAAATTGCTTTGTGTCTATAATATTGTTTGTCTTCCTGCCTTCCTTCCTTCCTCCCTCCCTCCCTCCCTCCCTCTCTCTGTCTCTTTCTTTTTTCTGATTGTTCTGTTATTGTACTTTCCCCTTTTCTTGTATTCAGCATTAGAATTTAGTGGAAAATATTAGTTGGACTCTGGGGATAAAGCTCAGAGGTGAGCACATGGAGTCTGGGACCATAAGCCTCTACATGACTCCATTAATTTTCTTGGAATGTGGATCTTGATTTAACACTGCAAGGAGATAAAATGCCCAAATAACTTTTATATCTCTTGTCACCATCTGCTCACTGACTGGATAAATCTTTCTAATTTATTTTAAAGTTTTTCTTTCTGAAGTAGTAACTATACAAATCATTACTAGAAGCCTTGCTGTGGATTGCAGGCTTCTAATGGTATAAAGGAAAGGCGTTTATTGGCCACCCTGATATTTTCCAGGAGAAATTTACTCTGGGCTTTAACAACAAAAAGAACAACAAATTGACCGAGACATTCCATCATGGGCCAAGTTTAACTTCCTATGAAAAAAGGATGTTGTGGGCAGGTTTTTCTGAGGAAAATGTTTTTATTTCCCCTGAAATAAAATGAAAGTCTTGTCAGTACTGACTAAGGGGTTGGCATGTGGAGAGAACAGTACAGCTTTCCTATACAATTTTGATCCGAGCTTACTTTGACTTGATTTTTTTGCCTAGGAAGGAAGTATTTGTCCTTCACAATATCTGATGTAGCCCCTTCTTCTTTAGCAAAAGTGTTTAATTGTATGAAAAGGTTTAAAATATGTGATCTTTCTTGAGGCTTTTTGGGAAGTTTAGATTGGGCCTAGGTAAAAAATGTGAGTGGACAAGGAGTGGGCAATTTGTGGTCCTTAGTCTGATTTCATGCAGCTGTTCCCAAAAGCTGCTTCAACCAGTCCATTCAGACATTAGAGCAGAGGCAAGCATGAGAAGGCAATGTCAGAATGGAGAAGATGAGAAAAGGAGTAGCAGAGAGAAAATGGAAGAGCTATGAGGTGCTGCTGCTAAATTTGCCTGCCATAACTATTGTAAACTATGGTTGTGTTGCTCCCAAAGATGTATCTGTGCTGAAAGATGGCCTTGGTAAGAAAATCACCCTGTAGCTCAGGGTTTCTCAAACTTATCAACTTTAAAGACTTGTGGACTTCAACTGAAGGTTCATGGTTCATTTTTGAACTCCCAGAATCCCCCACCATGGCTGGCTAGGGAAGTCTGGGAGTTGAAGTCAACACATTTTAAAGTTAAGAAACTGCAGAGAAAATTGGGGCACTGAACTTCAAATGCATCTCTAGGCTGTCATAGAGGAGTTATAGATGATCAAGACAAAGTGCCTGCAAAATGCACATATGAAGTAAAACTGTGGTGCATTGTATAAGCCCTGTCCAAAAAGAAATAAATCCACATAATCTTTCATTTCCATGTGATTCAATACAGGTAAATAATTTTGAATCATTTAATAGGAAGAAAGGTGGAACTCTTAGTAATAAATAGGGTGTTGTTTTTTTTAAAGAAATTTGACAGTGTCATGAATCATATTTTGATAGAACAGCAGATCTTTTACAATTTGTACAAGGAAATATGCATGCCTATGTGTATATAGATCTATATATTTATTTATGTAAGAAATTGGTATGTGGCTCACTTCGCTTAGTATCTGGCATGTATGGTTTACTGTGTTTAACAAAAATCCTAAATCTATGTATAGGAAGCCAATAGAGTAAAATTATTGTTGCTTCTGGTATTGGAAGAAATGTGAACCTCTTGCTAACTGCCAGGTTTTTCTCAGGCTTTTTCTATAGTTACTGTATGTTTTAATACCATTCATTATGCTGCCCCAAAGTAGCCATCCATTTATATTTCTTTATTGCTAAATAAAATATTAACAGAGATGATTTCACGACTATTTTATTTTTAATTAGGAAATTCGTTTCTGAACATCAGAAGCATATGTTTTTGCAATGCATAACAGAATGCATGACTAAAGTTCATCTCACTGGATTATTTTGTTTCATTTGGGTCTAAAAGGCAAAAAGAACCAAAAAAACAACAGAGACCATTGACCATTGTTATCATGGGGCAGGCCAACATGCTGCCATCTACTATGGGAATAACTCAAAATATACTATGTATAACAGGAAGAATCTATAGCCCTTCAGATGCTGCTGAATTACCACTCTGAGCAGCGTCTGCCATTAGCCATGCCTGCTGAGGATTATATCAACATTGAAAAATTTCAAGTACAATGTCTGTATTGCTGATCACCTTTATTACCATTGAAAGCTAAATATGCCTAGCAACTGATGACAGGTTTACATATTAGCAGTGGAGTGGAATCCTCCACTCCACTCCTCACAACAGAATACCTTTTGCCACCAGACTTGAAATTTTGGGCTTAGACAATTTAGAATTATGCCGGTCTGACCTAAGAGTAGTACATAAAATTATCTACTAGAAAGTTCTACCTGTCAATGACTACTTCAGCTTCAACCACAACAATACACTAGCACACAATAGATACAAACTTAAGGTAAACTGTACCAAAGTAAATTGCAGAAAATAGGATTTCAGCAACAAAGTGGTCAATGCCTGGAATGCATTACCTGACTCAGTGGATTCTTCCCCAACCTCCCTGTCTACTGTTGACCTCACCCCATCCCTAAGAGGTTTGTAAGGGACATGCGTAAGCGCACCAGCATGCCTTCCGTCCCTGTCCTAACAACCCCATTTATTCATATCTATTTCATGTATTCATAATCTTGTATATACTTACATCTATTATCTTATACACGTTTGACAAAGCAAATATATATATTAAACTGACCTATTCAGCACATTTATATACTGAGGCTTGCTTGTGGATGTTCCACTTTGGGTGTCTTAATGTATTCAACTCTAAAAGTTAATTAGAAGAGAACATTTCCTGAGTGTATGGGACTAATTCAGCAAAGTTCCATTTTCATTTTCAATTATTCTATTTGCTTCACCATTTTTTATATTGGGCTATTTTTTAATGATATATGGCAGCGGTTCCCAAACTTGGCAACTTTAAGACTTGTGGACTTCAACTCCCAGAATTCTCTGGGAGCAGAGCTGGCTGGAGAATTCTGGGAGTTGAAGTCCACAAGTCTTAAAGTTGCCAAGTTTGGGAACCACTGATATATGGTANACACACACACACACACACACATATATATATATATATAAAATCTCAAACCGTGAAATTTGGTACATATGTTCCTCTTGGCTTCTAGGTGCTCGCTAAGAAAGGATTTTTCAAAATGACCATCAGATCATTATATTTCTTATATTATTATTAACACGCTCTGATGCTAAGGAGATTCTACTCCCCCTCCCAAACTGAAAAGAACTCTGTTCCAACTGCCACTTGGGCATGGCCAGTGCATGACTCATCTGGCCAGCCAGCTGTGAGTTTGGAGAGGAGCCTGAGGGAAAGAAGGGGGAAAGGAGAGGCCTCTGTGGGGCAAGCCTGAAGGAGAGAAGGGGATAAGATAGGAGAGGCTTTTGTGGGGCCAGCCTGAGGGAGAGGAGGGGAGAGGCTTCTGTGGCAAGCGTGAGGGAGAGAAGGAGGAGGAGAGGCTGACTGTAACTACTCATTAATTTTTGAGCTGTGTCAATTTATCAAGCCCGATCACATAGTTTCGTAGTGGAGCATGGGTATTCAGCTAGTTTGTAATAAGAACCATTGGTCCTGGTGAGGAAATGCCCATTCTCCCTTTGGACACGAGCATCTTGGACGAAGTAATCCCCTTGCAAAGCTGGGTAATCCTCAAAGTCAGGGACGCCTTATTTGTATTATCTAGAGCAGGGGTGTCAAACTCAAGGCCCGCAGGCCAGATATGGGCCATGGGGTGCTTAGATCTGGGGCCACCCTGGAAACAGTGAAGGATCAGCCCGCTGTGTCTTTCGCAGCAAAAAATGGAGCCCGGGTGGGCCTTGTGTGGCCTTCCCAAGCTTCGTTTTTGCAGGCAAAGTGTAGCAAAACAAACTACTAGCAAAAATGGCATTCGATCACACAAGTTACATTGAGCTGGCCATGGCCACCCCGAGATCAAAAAGAATCCTGATGCGGTCCTCAATGAAATTGAGTTTGACACCCCTGATCTACAGAAATCTAATCTGATTAAAGATAAGAATAGGAGAAACTTTGACTAAACCAAAACTTGTAGCCCCATGTTGACCTTGGNCACACACACACACCTCTCACTGGGAAATCCCCGGAGAAGAGCAAATGGTGGTGTGTTTGGTTGTAGGCTGATTGAAAGAAATTAATTATTATGTGACTTTGATTTCTTTCCCAGTGTTGTGACTTCTGCAAGCAGGTGTTACCTGCTGAGTTTCCGGTAGTGTATGCAGACCGAGCCGGCTACAATCACCAGTGGCATCCAACATGCTTTATGTGCTCTAAGTGCTCTGAACCACTTGTTGACTTGATCTACTTCTGGAACAATGGAGCCATCTGGTGTGGACGCCATTACTGTGACAGCATAAGGCCACGCTGTGCAGCTTGCGATGAGGTGCGGTTAGTGTGAAAATGGGTATTCTTTTCCTGTCTGTGTCTGTGACCCCAATTGTGAGATGGTCTAAACAGCTGCAAGGAGTCAAGATGTTCATCCAACATCTTTCCGCTTTTTTTCCTTTTAAGCAGGACCCATGTTGACTTGCCAAAAAGGAATTCAAAATGTGCAGACTGCTTTTATGTATGGTGATCAATGGGATGATCTTTTGTTCATTTCTTCTGGGAATTTTTTTTAATTATATGTGAATTTTCCAGAGAACACTGCATATTTATTTTATACCATGATGTTAAGTGCATGTATTTTTGTTTGAACTTAAGCTTAAAAAGGATTCATTTTTACAAGGAGGGAGGGTGGAGAAACTCTAATCTGCTGCCATTCAGAAGTAAGCTATCCCTGGAGCTGCAGCAAAGTTAGAGGTAGCAAACAGACAACTCCATGCCATTTGACTTCTATTCCTTGTCTTATCCTATTTCTAAAAGAACTGCTCTAAGCTTGTGACAGAATTAGCTTACTTTCTCCTCCCCCATCCCCTTAAAACTAATATGTGCACATAGGCTATTTAGTTTGTATTGATCTTCCTAAAACCATTCCCGGGATAAATATTTTATTCCTTCCAAATTGGTCCCTTGAGCCTGATATTAAGTACATATACAGTTAAATGTTTTACAGCAATATATTTCCAATAAGCATTCTTGTACCTCTCAGATCTGTCATCATAAATGTTATTTAGCACATAAATGCATCCTTCAGAAAATGTCCCAGCTGAGTTTATAGTTTTTCCATCTCCGTGTTTCTTTTTTAAACCATTTATCAAAATCTAGGCTTGCAAATAGGGCTCGGTTTCTCATTCTTTGGAAACCTCTAAGGATTCCTGCTTTTCGATAAAGGAACAGCCATCCAGAATCCAAGCTTAATTTTTGCCAGAGCTCACAATCAGGGTGTACATTTTCAGAACCAGAATTATATGAAGAAAAGTGGGATATGGGAAATAAGCAAAAATAAACAAATGGAACATCTTTTGTATTACTCAATAAATGCTAAATTCCACAGACTAGATTGTAGGGAATATTTTTTTAAAAAAATCTAGTTACAAAAAGATATATTTGTATTAATTAAAATTACAATACAATATTACAATTTTAATATCCCAGTTTTAATTTCCCAGTTGACCCATTGTAGAGTTGAAAGGATCTTGGAAATCAATCAAATATCTGCTCAGTACAATAAGCAGCCCTTGGCTATGTTTGTTCATTGTTGTTGTTTTTCCATTGATAGCTGCTGATAAGAAGTTTCCTTTTCCTTTGGACATAATTTCCTTTCTTGACACCTGTGTAGCATATATGCATAAGACTAGCCAATTTTTTTACATGTTAACCATTGTACTGTGATAGTTAGGGTTAGATAACATTTAGTGTTAACCATGATCAGAGAAATTTGGCAATGTTCTTCCCATGCTATAAAGCTCACTAACAGCTTCAGCTCCTCCATAGGTTTCTATAGGAAGAACAATATATAGCATACTGAGCTTCCTGAATTATGGTCTAGTACCATGATGGGGAACCTATGGCACGTGTGCCAGAAGTGGCTCCCAAAACCATCTCTCCGGGCATGCCAGCCATCGTCCATTGCTCTTCCGGGTCTTCACATGCACAGGAGCACCAGAAACTGGAAGAGCACTCCCTGGCATACACCTGTGTTCCAGAAACTGAAAGCCCAGAATGCATGCTGGAAACCAGAAGCTCAATTTCCCAGCGCATGCATGAGCACCGGGGAGCTGCTCTTACGGTTTCCAGTGCTCTCCCCTGCGTGCGCGCTCCCGTTCAGCACTTGGTGCTGAAAAGGTTCACCAACACTGATATAGTAGCTACTATTTCAAGAAGGGAACTCTGTATAATGAGCATGGACTATTGTAAAGAGAAAGGAATAGAATTTGGGGAAGGTATAAAATACATATGTAACGAGGTTTTCCTGGAACTTAAATTACTTAAAGAACTCCTGTTTCAGATACATAGTGTATAAAGAACACAAGTATATTCCAGTATATTCAAAAAGTCTCCTAACCAAAGGTATTTTTCAAGCATTTGTTTTCAAACAAGGCTTAGAAATAAATGTAAACTTCTTCTGCAGCTTGGTTGGACCAGAACTCTGATCTTTATAGGAATGTGTAAATATTTATTTTCTGTGCAAAGCTAAGTAGCATGGATACACTCTTTATACTGTTGGCTTGTCAATAGCATTGTGTTTGTATCTCTCTCACTGTGTGATGTTTTCATAATGAAGACATTCAGGAATGATAAATGGACTTGTTTACTTTCACAGATAATATTTTCTGATGACTACCTGCAAACTGAAGGCCTTACCTGGCACAAACAGCATTTCACCTGCCTGGAATGTGAGAGCTCACTGGCTGGCAAACCCTTTATCCTGGACGCATCCAGCTTGTGGTGTACCTCTTGCAGTAAAAGCAAGCTTTCTTAAAACCGGGTGTCATTTCAATGCTGACGTTTTTGTGTGTTCTGACTTGGAACGGACTCATTGGTGGGGAGGTCTTAAGCCAAAAAAAAATTGCATCCTAAGGATTTAGATCACTAAGGTTATTTGCAATCAAGTAATTACAGGAAATGAGATGGGAAATGATAACGCAGTAGGAAAAGAATAGAGAAATGGAATGTTCTAGGCCTTTCAGGAAAGACTTTATACGCAACCAAATGTACTGAAAACTAGGCCCCATTATGTTAAATTATTTCAACTGGCATATTACAAAAACTACTCCAGGAGGTTTAGAAATATATACATACAATTATCATTGTGATGCTGGGTTTTGCTGCTTTTTTATTGGTAACCAAAGGGCTATATTTCTAAACTAAATATCACAATGCCATTGCCCACAAATGAGTAGTTTTAGAAATATACGTAGAATGATACAGTGGGGAAACGAAACCGCCAATATCTGCAAGAGAAGGGTTTCCCTTCCCCTATGTGTTATAACACATTGCCTCCAAGAAACAACATTATGGTTTGAAAAATAGATTACATAAAAAAATGGTTTGACAGCTTAAAGAACCTGAAAGCAGAGTAGCTTGTGAAGGATCACTGGAAAAATCAGGTTACAATGGATGATTTTTCTTTTTAAAAATGCTATCTAGAAGTAGAATTAAAGCAAAATATGTTTGATGAGCTTTCTGGATTACACATGTACCGTATTCAACGTTTTGATGATTTTATTCTGCCCCATCTTTTTTTCGCATGGGGGGGAGCAGCAAACAGATGAAAATACTTTAGTGCATTTAGAAATCTATGTGCAGTGGTCTTTTTGCTAACAGCCACATGGAGGGAGTAAAGGCTAATAAATCTCAGCACATTAGTGCTTGATCTCTGGAGGCGCTGCTTACACAATGTTGCTTTCATAGACTAGGAAGAAGTAATCACATAAAATCAGCTTAGATATTCTTGCCAACTTCTCCCAGTGCTGAACAGTCATGGCAATAGGATTAATTCACATAGGTGATCTTTAAGCACATGAATACCAGCATGGTTTTGTGTAGCCCCGTGATGGCAAACCTATGGGACTCATGCCAGAAGTGGCACAGAGAGCATCTCTCCAGGCATGCCAGCCATTGCCTGTTGCTCTTCCAGGTGCTCTTCCAGCTGGTCTTCAGGTACGCAGGAGCGGGGGAAACCGGAAGAGCAGCTCCCTGGTGTGTCCGATTCTGACACACACATACGTGCTGGCCAGCTGGTCTTTGCACGGACATGTGCGCCAGAAGACCAGGTGACCACACACTGGAAACTGGAAGCTCAGTATGTTCATGACATGCTCTTCTGGTTTCTGGTGCTCCCATGCCCATGTGCTCCCATTTTGGCACTTGGTGCCGAAAAGGTTCACCAACACTGGTATAGCCCCTAAAGAAGACTGCTTGATAGTGCTTGAAGCCTTCCTTATGGGATTGGATTTTGTTCTTGCCACCCCAGCCAGCTAATGGTCAACAAAGAGAGGAGTTGTGTTTGTATAACTGCATTACATCTGGAAGGAGAATTCAACATGTATATAGAGACTATTAATATTAAATTCTCAATTGCTGCATCCCGTCATAGATTTTAAAATGGGCAGTAAAACTCATTCTTCCTAACATTTATGATAGGGCTTTTTTGGCTTTAACAGTAAGAAATTTTAAGAAAACAAAATAGTAATGGGCTGTGTTTATAGCAAGTGAATGCATGCAAAAGGATATTGGTTTTCTTGGTAAGAGTACTTTGAAATTCTAAATGCTAGCCAATTGAGAATTTAATA